AAAGAAATATTTATAAATACAAATTTTTTCTAATTCTTGCATTAATATTGATGACAAGTAAGTAATAAATTAAGGAATAAATTTCTTTCTTAGCTACAATTCGCAGAGTTTGAATACCTTTTTATCATAAAAATATATATTTTTTTTAATTTCTAATTTTGTAAAAAACAAAGTTCTGTAAAATCTTCTAAATTTTTTAGAAAATGTCAAAATATTGCGATTTTGAATATCATGAGAACTAGAAAACAAATGGAAATAATTGTGAAAATCATATGACTTAATGACGTAAAACGAAAGATGAGATCAAAAGTTCATTGCAAACGAATAGATTGATAATGTCAAAGCAAAACGAATGTTTCGTTTTGCTTTGACATTATCAATCTAATTTTAATTCTTCAGAATATATAATCTAAGTATCTAATTCTCTCAGAATATGTAATTCTCTCAGAGAGAGTAATATAAACTTCTATTTAAAAAATAACAAAAAATATGAACAATTTTTTGAAAGCTATTATAAATAAAACTATGTACAAATTTATAATAGCAAAACGCATAGACATGTAAAAATAAAATTATTTTCAAAAAATATTACACTCAATAAATACATATAGAAATTGAGAGATTTATATAAAAAAATCGCGCTGTGCATTTTTTATAAATAATTTATTTTATTAGTATTTAATTTAGCAACAAAACTTCATTAACTGATTAAATTTCTTATATCAACATAGAAATTTCATTAAATTAAATATTTAATACATTGAACATTAAGTTTTCTATGCGATATGGATTATTAATAATAATAATATCGAAAATTGAAAGAACGTAGTTATCATGAGCAAAAACAATAGGATAAATCAATTAAAATTAATTAATCGACTTTTTGCAATCCGATGTAAATACTATGTATGAGCATGATATCTAGTCACATATTTGCGTCCATTATTAATTCGAATATCGCATAATTGTTCTCAAGGGAAAATATATTATACATTTGTTTTTTGCGGAAAACAATATTATATATATATATTATATATATATATATATATATATATATATATATATATATATACAGCGTGTGTCAAAAGCTCCGGGACGGCTGGATAATTTGAAAAATACGCATTACAGAGGAAAATGACCTAGACAAAAGTTGTAGGATTTTTCCCGGGCAATCCGACGGTGACCTTAGATTTGACCTTGGATAGTCATTTGAAGGTCACATAAAGATTACCTTCAATTTCTTAAATGGAACCCCCTATTTTTCATTGCATATTCTTGTAGCTTATCTCGAGAGCTTTCCAAAACACTATAATTAAGTACCTTTTTATTAAGTACTTTTTGAGTTATAAGGCTTGAAATAATTTCTTAATTTTACATAAACCATAAAATATCTAGTAAACCATTCATTTTTCGATTATCTTACCTTCATACTTTTATGTACAAAATAATGAGAGGAATCAATTGGTGTAAAGAAAACATACAGTTGTTTTTAAGAAAAAATATGGAATTGTTAATTGCAAATTACATATTTTTTCTTAGAAACAACTATGTGTTTTCAGTGATTCATCATTTCTTTAGAATTGTTTATTTTTTCAATTACTATTCAACTACTATTTTACACGTATTAAATGAATTATGTTTTTAGAATATCAATAAGTGTAAAAAAATATGAAGTCATTAATTGTTAATTGCAAAAATAAGAACTATATGTTTATAAAAACATATAATCCAAATTAGTACTTTTTTACGGAGAGATATATTTTCTATTAATCTTAAGAAATTCAAAAGGGCAATTTTTTTATGAACTTAGTATACATTCTAAAGTACTTTTCAGGATTTTCCGCCATGTTGTTTTCGTTATTAATACTATATAAAAAATACACTATTTTCTCTACTAAATCCAAAATAACAATTATATTTTATTAAAACTTTCTTTTTGAAAGTTTTTGAATTACAGAATCCAAATTTAAAGAAAAAAATAAAAATTTTTTAAATTTATATTTTTTCATCATATTGGATCCACTTGAATTTTTTGACATCAGATTTGGATTTAGGGATAAAAAAACCCAGAAAACATTTGCTAAAATTTTAATGTAAGGATAAATATATGGATGAAAGGAATTAAAAAGAATTTACAAAAAAACTTACAGATTTTTACAAAATATATTTGAATAAATCGATGAATACGATGTTCATTAACAACGAGAAACATAACTAAATAAATTAAATAAATGGAAATTGCTTGATGAATTAACATTCATTATAAAAACAAGATGAAAACTAGTTAATAACTAGTTAATAATAGAAAGTAGGATGCAAATTATTTTCGAAAAATTTCTAATTATGTAAATAAAATCGTTGAGAAAGACTGCTTAGAGATCAAAGTACATACTTTTAAATATGTTACTTACAATGGTTCAAAAAAAGATTGAAACATTTATGTAAATAATTAAAAAAATTTTTCGAAGATAATTTCGCGTTCTATTTTTTTGCACTTAATTCTTATTAGCTCGTTTTTTTTGTTTTTTTTTGTTTTTTTTTTGTATCATTTATTGAAACCTTACACTTTATTTAATACTTATTATTGCTCGGAGTAAAATATATAGGCAAGTAATAATTATAAGTTTTATAAAAATAAATCACAGTATAGTTTACTGATTAACAATGCTGCTAGTCTTTAAAATCGTTCTGAAAGTAGACGTAAAATATCAAAGTTACAGTTATTTTTACGCGCAGATATACATATAAAATACGAATTGTACAATGAGAAATCGATATTCACTCATAATTTAGGTGGTGTGCGTACATTTCCCTTCTTCTCTTCGGCATTGATTTGTTACGAGCATGAACTTTATTTTTTCTGCTTTCAAGTATTATTTTACCACTAACCCACATCTCATATTTCCCGTGATTACATAGCAATTGTTCAATTGAGAATTCTAGAAGTAAGCAATATACATTTACATTTTACTTCTATATTAAATTTAAAATCATTCTATCAACGCATTTTTAAAATTTTGTGCAGAACTTTTTCGAATAGATATTTCAATAAGAAATTAACAAATTAATGTCATTAATTGATATCCCAAGAAAAGTTTTTAATTTTCAAACTCAAATGTGTTTAGTAAGTTATAAGTTTAAAATTATTCAATTATCTAGAAGCAATATTATTTACTTTGCAATAAGATAAGTGAGTTCTGTATGGCCTTATTTTCTATGTGGCCCATATTTCTATATTTCTATATTTCTATATTTCGCTGTATAATAATTTGCTACGTGCAATTGAATTATTAATTAAAATTTACTTATCCGCTTGTCAACTTTATCTGCTTAATTGTAAAAAAATATAAAAAATATTGGTAAAATATATGTAAAATATAAAAATATAATGTAAAATAATGTAAAATATAAAAAATATTTCATTATTATTTAGTAGTGTATTTCTAAAGTTGAAAAATTTACATAGTCTCATAATTTATAAATTATAATACAAACCAATAGTAAAAAGTATATCTTAAAATTAAAATAAATAGAATTTTATATAATCTATCTAATTCGTATAATTAATGGAATGAAAGTATATCATAATTGAGACATCTTTTCTGCACTATTTTAAATATTGCAAATGTCTTCCGCAAAATAATTATTTACTCCTTCAAATAGAAATGAAATAATTAATACCTCTGATGCGAGTAGTTGGAAGATATCTTTAAATCTTGAATAAAAAATGTTACTCCATCAAATTACCTCTCCATATTTCGTGCTCCTCATTTTCGTATGATTGTCAATCTATTAACGGAATATTATAGGTTGAAATGTCAATGGAATAATCCCTCATTGAGGAGTTATTTATGTCTCAATGATACAACATAGATACAAGAACAAGCACAATCGCGGAAAAGATGAAACAAATGCTAACCCATGCATAGCAAAGACTACAGTTGTAATGGTTGACGTGAGCTTAAAAAATTCATTTTAATAAATTTATATTGAATATAACAAATTTTTAGTGAAAATAGTGGTTACATTTTATATTGTATCTTGTAACCTACGCAAAGCAAGAAATAAAAGTAATGTAAAAGATAATAAAAAATAAAAAATAATTAAATATCAATTTCAAAGGTAATTTATATATACACAATTATTTTCTTTTAATATAAATATTTTGTAAGATATCTTAATCATAGCCTTGGTAATTAGTAATTAAAAACGACATTTTCTTAGCAAAATATATATCAAGTTATTCAAGTATAGTACACAAACATTTTATTATACATTTATGTATATATTTCTTCTTATATATTATTTATTCTAATGTTTCTGGTTTAGATTTAAGATTTAATTTTTTAAAAAATATTATTAATTTATATATATATATATATATATATATATTAATAATTAAAAGTCTAGGTATTTCGTTTTAGTGGCTACTTTTATTTTATCACATGAAAATGCATATATTTATCTCTTAACGTTCTTAAATTTTATAATTGAATCAGGATTTGTCATTCGTTAGAAATTTATGCAAATGAATTTTTCCCCAGATATTTTCCTTATTCACTATAACCATAACTTGGAGCAATCCTTTAGACGGTCAATATTTTCGTAAATGCTAATTATAATTATCAGTGATTAATGTCATAAGTGATTAATATCATCTATATATTTCCGCGAATATTAATTGGAAATATTGTGTTATATACTGACGATAAAGTTATTGTGCCATTTTGCTCTGATTTGAAGCAATAGTGATAGCAGCAATGAAGGGAAAGCCGAGGCAGTAACGAAGGTGTTTCGTTCTAGACGCACTAATGCGAAGTAGATCGAATCTGCAGATTTTCATCTCTTAGCTTTTTTCTTTCCTTTTTCATATCTTTCTCTCTTTTCTTTATTTTTCTCTCTCTTCTATTTCTTTCTCTTTTTCTCTCGCGAGAGCTCATAATAATTCTCATGCTGCTTATATCATTTATGAATTTCTGGCATACATTCAAAGAACTCACCAAGAGTAGGCAAATGTAAGTCAGCTTTGTCGCTCGTAACTAAATCCTTTCGTATAAAAACAGATGCAACTCGCGCAATTCACACCGCCCGAATATATGATCACGCGTATTTGTATTCATGTATTGCGTAATCACGTATACGTATATGTATATGTGGAGGTGATTACGACAGCGACGGCAATGACAGCACACTAAACCTAACACATATGTCACATTCCACCAACGAGCTTACGCGGCGGCTTTCAGACTGATAGGAGGGTAGTTTCGTCGTCGCGACGCGGTGCTACATCGCTGCCACCCCTCGAGCGTAGGTATTACTAGTCGTTGCTGAAACTTTTGCAAACCACTAGCCACACATTCTCATTGGCACACAGCATCTATTGTTTTGCAAAGTGATTGGCACGCTCAGTGCGTTTTAAAGTTCGCCTGGCATGCTAATATGAGCAACTATATGAAAAAATTTTGCTTCAGTTTTAGACTATTTAAAAAATTATAAAATAAACATTGGATTTAGATTTTAAAATTGTTTTTTATATAAGAAATATATATATATTTACGACGAGCATACCAGGGTTATAAATACAGATTTTAAAGCAACCCCTTTACAGGGTAAATTTTAAAAAAATTTTTGAAAAATTGGAAACCCATATATTCTACTCCTATTGGTCAAGTCGGGTCGAAAAGATCCTATGCACTGCTACCCTATCTCCAACTCTTATGGTAGTATTCTTGGAAGGGGGTGGAAACAAATCGCCGCTTCTAATCGCCGTCTATGAGGTCCTATACCCTATCCCTCTAGCACCCACTGTTTCCCCGAAAAACGAAGATGACATGTCACGCCAAGACGCTATTTCCGAAACGAAGAGATTTATGGTCTCGGGTCATAGGACCTATTTTGTAGAGCTCCTAGAGTACTATAAACCCTCTTCGGAACCCGAAGTCGTATCTCTAACCGTTCGAAAGATAATCGAAAATTTCAATTTTCTTGGGAATCGAGTCCCACTTCGACTTCGGACCTTCATTAAAATCCGACTCGCGACTCTTTCCACAAGATATTCGGATTCCAAAGCCGTAAGTCTCTTTGTTTCGGAGATAACGTCTTGGCGTGACGCGTCATCTTCGTTTTTCGGGGAAACGGGGGTGCTAGAGTGAAAGGGTGTAGGACCTCGTAGACGGCGTTTAGAAGTGGCAACAAGAAAGGTTCTACATTTCGTTGCGGTAGAACTTGTAGTTTCGGAGATACGACGATTCGAATGTTTAAATTTCGTTTTCTGGGCGAATGGTGGGTGCTAGAAAGAAAGGGTATACCATCTTTTTTATCACGTCCATAGGCATTTATTAATGAAAAATATTTAAAAAAACAAAGTCTATATGTTTTATCACGTCCACAGGCCTTTATTAAAGAAAAGTGGAAAGTAAAACAAAACCTACATGTTTATCATGTCCACAGTCATTTATTAATGAGAAATTACAAATCATAATATTAATGACTACGTTTACACGACATGATTTACGCCGAAGTTCTAACATTGATGTTATAACTACTGACATTAGACGCTATGTAAACGCTCTTTTACGATAAAATTATTACATCGATGTAATAATTCAAAGTCGTTTAGCGAAAAGGCTTAGCGTTACTACATCGACGTAAAAAGGACGTGTAAACGGCCGCAGTGTAACGATGGCAATAATGCTAATCGTTAAAATTAAACATCTTAACTCTCCCTTGTTTGCAAATTTAATATCATTTCATTGGTATCATTTCTTGAACTCACTTCACTCGAAAGTTATTAAGTTATTTTAGCTTAGTGGAGATAGAATAAGCTTGAACGTAGAAACACAACTCACTTTAAATAGGAGTTATAACATCAACGTTATTAAATCAAAGTTAGAAGCCATGTAAACGTAGTCAATAATAAAAAAATTTCATGATTACATCGTACTTCTCCAACCTAATCTAATCGAACATAATATTTCATAAAATTGCATAAATTAAATGACAAAATACTATAACTGAACATAATATTGCATAAAAATGCATAAAATGATATAATATGACAATAGCATAACCGAACATAATTTTTTAATTTAAATATTGAGCAATTCAACAAATTCGAATTGTTCACATTATAACAAATATATTTTCGAGAAGAAAAACATTTTAGGACCAAAATAGTAGCAGCGACTAATCGCGTTAATGTACTTTACTCTTGCTGAGAAATTAGCATCGCCACTTAAAATGATAAAAATCATTAAATCTATTATTCTTTGTAAACTATAACGAATATTATTCTCTATAAAGTGATTTTTTATAATTATATTATAAGATTTAAGCAAAAATCCATATACATGTATCTTATTCTCGGTCGCATTCGTGCTAAATCGCGTATTGGAAAATTAATCGAGTAGTGGATTTTATATTCGCAAACATTTTATATTACAAATTCTTTGCATAAAATAATAATAGTAATTATTATATCGCGAGCGCATGAATGTGTTGTTTTGATTAATTATTATAATTTACGCGCATCGCAATCGAATATTCTGAATATGCGAATTTTAAATCGCGTTTTATTTGTGACTTAATCATTGATTTACAATCTAATCCTGATTTATCTTTTCGCATCTTGAATATTTTCTTTAATAGTTTGCGCAAAATGCGCTAACTATTATATTAGAAGCACTTTTTTCTATAATTAACAGACAATCGCTAATTTTATTAATTACTTTTTTAGCAAGTGTTTACGTTACATGAAACTTATTCTTAAGTTCTATTATTGCATAACAATTATTAATGGTAAATATCGTGTACTTAATTATGTACTAATCAATCTTGTCCAAAAATTTTTAGTAAATTTTATAATATATATGAATATTTTTGTATAATTCCATATAATAAATTATTTTGTATTATATTTTAAATATAAGGATTATATTCAATTTTGTAATTACATTTTGTAATAGGTTTTGTGTAATTTAGTTTCTACTCAGCAAAAACACAAAATAACAATTATAAACTTACTAACAATTATAAACTTACGTTAGTATAATTTCCCACTCATATAATATGTTATTTGGAACAGTTATAATGTTGAATGAGAAATTATAACTAACAATTAATAACTGTTAAATAAAAATACAAAATAATGAGAGGAATCAATTGGTGTAAAGAAAAGACATAGTTATTTTTAAGAAAAAATATGTAATTGTTAATTGCAAATTACATATTTTTTTTCGAAATAACTATGAGTTTTCTTTACACCAATTGATTCCTCTCATTATTTTGTACATAAAAGTATTAAGGTAAAATAATCGAAAAATGAATATTTTACAAGATATTTTACGGTTTATGTAAAATTAAAAAATGATTTCAAGCCTCATAACTTGGAAAGTACTTAATGAAAACTAACTTAATTATAGTGTTTTGGAAAGCTCTTGAGATGAGCTACAAGAATATGCAAAAGCATATAGGGTGTCCCATTTAAAAAGTTGGAGCTGACCTTCGCGTGTCCTTCAGGTGGCTCTTCAAGATCAAACTAATGACATCATCTTATGTCCCCCTTGAAACCATACAACTTTTGTCTAAAACATTTTTCTCTATCTTGCTTAGGTTCCGAGAAATTTAGGTGGTCGGATTAAAATGAAACACCCTGTATATGGTATGTATCAAATGATCTTCATGTAGCGTCTCGTGGTCTAAACATGGTCAATATAATTAATAATTAAATGATGTGTATATTGTATAATTTACTATATATGAGGAATATGTTTTACAAAAATATAAAATTTACTATGCATCAGATATATATATATATATATATATATATATATATATATATATATAGAGAGAGAGAGAGAGAGAGAGAGAGAGAGAGGACTACACAAAATTCATTTATATTAATGTACATTTAATATAAAGTTTATAAAATTTATATTTAATATACATAAGCATCTTGCGTTAGTCCCGATCTATAATAGATAATTTAAGCTCTAAGCTTTAAGAAATTGACCAATCACAGGCGAGTATTCTCTTCATACTTGACTGTGAAGGCCGCAGCACACACTTTTGCATAAGTGCATAACCATAAGCATAAGGAAATTGATTGGTCCCCAAGTATATAAGCATAAGAAAATGAACCAATCAATTTTCTTATGCTTGTGATTATGCGCTTATGCAAAAGTGTGTGCTGCGGCCTTGATTGGTCAATCTCTTAAGACTTAAGGCTTAAGAGATTAATCAATTACAGTCAAGTATGAAGAGAATATTCGACTGTGATTGGTCAATTTCTTAAGACTTAGGGCTTAAAATGGGTCTGTTCGTTTTAGCTGCACTGCTGCACTAGTGCAATTAGTTAGAGTGAAAGAAAGTATGTTTGTCTCTTTTTAACTTATTGCACTAATGCAGCAGTGCAGTTAAAACGGACAGACCCATTATCTATTGTAGATTGGGACTAACAATAGTCGTGTAATGCTTGGTCCACAACCTTGCTTTATGTGACGGAGTCGTAAGAAATTAACCAACCACAGTTGAATGTGAGAAGAATAATTGAATACGATTGGTTAGTTTCTTACGACTCCGTCAGTTAAAACAAGGTTGTGGACCAAACATTATCGGCATTTCGTGCACATAGCGTGGAACAGAACCAAAAATTGTGCACATTATATGCATCGACATATAGGTCCATATTCTGAATCCTCTTTTATCGATAAAAGTGCTTTTAAAAGGTTGTAGCCAATCAGAAAACTTATAAGCCTCTTTTAGAGGCACTTTTATCGATAAAAGAAGATTCAGAATATGGGCCATAGAATGGATTTCTGATGGAAGGAGAAGCATGAGTAGAGTGAGAGCAAATGATATGAGGTCACGTTCCGTCTCTTTCTATAAAGCCTGATTGGTTGGTTCTATGGCCGGTATTCATAGTCCGATCTTATATTTAAGATCTTAATTTAAGGTCTTAAGTCTGGTCCGAGGTTGATTTAAGACCTTATTCAACCAATCAAATAGCTGCGTAGCATTTCAAGCTCGAACTTAAGACGATCTCAAATATAAGATCGGACTATGAATACCGGCCTTATATGTCGATGTTTTTTACCAACCAATCAGGCTTTATAGAAAGAGACGGAACGTGACCTCATATTATCTGCCTCTCAGTTTAGCCTCTCGTGCGGTTCCCCTTCCCCTTCCATCAGCAGTCCATTCTATATGTCAATGATTACATGTTACTCTTTAAAAACATTCGTGGCCGGTATTCATAGTCCGATCTTATATTTGAGATCGTCATAAGTTC